TACTTGTGCAAAGTAGGAATGCATCTTCTAGATTTAATTTTATTGCAATTCATGATATTCCCTGCCAACATAGCTAGGCTGGAAAGTGTAGATTCAATTACAGAGAGTACCAATTTGAGAAGTCTGTTAGGACACAACCCAACATTCAAGATTCCTTGAATGTGCAAAGTTTTGCTACAGAGGCCATTTTTTTGGCAAGTGAAAGCATGTCCAAAATGCAGAAAGTAACCCCGCCTCTCCTCCAAAACCCTTTTTTCTTAAAGGTCATTTTTTAAAAAATGGCTTTGCAGACTTCTAAGTAATTTCAATCTTTCAAACATCACTGACTGTATTTACATAGTGTTTTAGATAACATGTGTAATGAAATGTTTCATCATCCAAATACATTTTGAAATAGATAACTGTTGATAAATTGAAATGAAATCCATTTCACCATTTTTTAACTAGCTACTGAACTGAACTGAAAGTAGTTCTGCAACAAAATTCTTATGAGAGTTTTAAATCAGATTAAATATGTCAACCTCCCAAGAGAACACTGGAAAAGATATTTCTAATTAACATTTTGTTTCAGACTTGAAAGCCTAATTTGGAAACAGCTGAGGTTCTAATAACTTTAATTCTATAGTTATCCCCCCCCCCCCGTTGGAATTTACATTGCCACTTGCTTAGGTAAAATTAGAGGGTATTTCTTAGAAATAATGTTACCAAAGCAAATTTACCATAAACTATATTTTGCAATGCCACTTCTTACAAATCTAAGGATAATAAAAAGACTACTATGGCAGTTACTTCAGACAACAAATAAGTAAATTGAGATTTCTAGGTCAATTAAGATGAATCTAAATAGTGTGGCAAAGTCATACTCTGCAATGACAGGAGAGTTTATCTTTCACCAGTAACCTCTGACCAGATAGTGTGTCCCAATGGAAGAATTCAGATAATGCCTAACAGAAGTTATCTTGATGAATGTTCAGGGAATGCATACAGGGTGACCTCTTAAAAGGTGAAAATGTTTTAAGACATGCCAATATTTCTGGACTAAACTGATGCCAAATTTAGTAGCAGCTCAAAAATTACTTGTCCAAATCAGTATCCCGTTGCACTCAGTAGAGTCATTGGTGCTCTCTAAACTAAGTTGGTTGCTTGCAAACATTTTGTTACCAAACTAGATAGTATCTTCAGTGCTAGAAGGGAGTGGGGTTTGTTCCCCACTCCCTTCTGCCAATGACATGCCCTGCCAATATTGGTGAAGGTGTTGTTTTTTCCTTGCTAGTTCCTTGATTAGGCTGCTGTTTATTCTTTGACTGTTTGTCTTGAGTTGCTGTCTGAGTTGGTAGTTCCTTGATTAAGGTATTGTTTACTGTTTGATTGTCCAGTGCTAAACCCTGCTTATCTCGATGTTGATTGTTGACAACACATAGAAATGTATTGTTGTTCTTTAGCTGTCTTTCTTAAATGCATTTGTGGAGGCAGAGATACAGTGAATTTAATATAGCAGCACCAGCAATAGTATATTTTGGCAGATTGGTCAGGGATAAGGTGACTTTTGTTAGTATGTAATACTTATATTTTAAAATGAGAAAATGAATTCAGTCCAGAATCAGCCCCATAGCTAATAAACCATTGGGAAAATGTTTTGTGACCAAGCAATACTGAATTAGCTAAACTGCTTCTTGAAAAAAGTACTATAAATTACACACTTTAAAATCACTTGGTGTGATCTCGCACCTGATACTCTTCAGCATTGGCTATGCTGGCCAGGGCAGTTAGGAATTCTATTCCAGTAATTACACACACATTTCTATGCTAAAATAGTTTTTGCTACTATAAATAGCTTTAGATTACTGTGAATGACACAATTTACATAAAAATTTTGGAAATCCAGCAACTGATACAATACTACTGAATTTATTTTGTGTTTTGTGCAGTTTTCTAAAGCAGGACATGCTTCAGAAAAATGTTTTCAGGTCAATCTACCATGGAATTCCAGCATGGCTTAGAAAGCTTTTATGTTTTATAATGCATTCTCAATTCATATTGTATCCTAGTAAAGCCTGCTAGGCATTATTGTTTTCTCATGCAAGATCACACACTGAAAACACAATTAATGTGCCACTACTAGTTTCTGCATCGTAGACTATATTAAGATGAGTTATTTTGCATATTATGTAAAGGGAACAGTCCACACACAGAAATTCCCAATTACTAATTTATTGTTAAAGCCTATGCACAGGAATCTTCTCAGACTAACAGTTAGCACCAGGCTGGAACTAGAGAAGATTCAAAGCATTTAAGGGGGCATTGGACTTAATTAGTTTGTGGCTACTTAGGATTCTAAACTGATTCCTCTTTTAGCTCTTTCCCCTTGGCTCTGCCAGGCCTTCTCTTACACTAAGAGGAACAGACAAAGTTGAAGGCCAGTATATTTGTACATAAAGAAACTGAAGCTTTACTAGAATTCACTTCAAAATTATACTTGCTAATTACTTCAGATGCTTATAGAAAACTCCACTGCATTTGTATTAGTAGACAGGACAAGAAGCAATTTATGGAAACTAATGAAAGATAGAACCAACCTAGAACTAAGGAGAATTTTCCTGACAGTTAGAACAATTAATCAGTGAAACGACTTGTTTCCAGAAATTGTCCAAAACTGGAGGTTTTTAAGAAGAGATGGGACAACTATTTGTCTGACATGGTATAGGGTTTCCTGCTTGAGCAGGGGGTTGGACTAGAAGACCTCCAAGGTCCCTTCCAACTCTGTTATTCTGTTGTTGTTGTTATTATAATTTTTATAATCCATACTTATGGCACCAATCCTAATCCCATAAAAAAACCTGCAAGATTGGCGAAGAACAGTTAAAACATCTATTTGGAAAAGAAAAACATCAAAGAAAGAATATCTCAGAGTAAAGTAGAACAATTTACATGATTCAAATGGCAGAATTGGACTTGTTTTTTTCCAAATTTTAAATTATATTACTGTCATACAATAGATATTGAAAATATAAATTTCCCATATACTAGAATGTTAATGCTAGAAGTGCATAAAAATGTTAAAAACTTAAAAGGGCATAATATCAGAAGGGCTTGCTAACAATCTGGAATTTCAGAAAAACAATAATAAGTTATCTACTCTTTAAGTTCATTAAATAAATATTTTTTTTATTCTGGAGACAATTATTCCAAGAAAAGTTTAATTAAGTGCATAATTATTTTTAAGACAAACAATAAAGTATGAACAATTATACAGAATCAAGACAACTTAGTAGGATGCATATATAAATTGCTATTAAAACATGACATAGATATAGAAGAAATAAGTTTGCATCTATTTAAATCCTGCTTTTCTTACTTTTTTTTAAAGTAACTCAAGAAGACAAACATATTTAACACTGCTTCCTCTTCCTATTTCCTCATGATAACAACCCTTGAGATGGGTTGGATGAGAGACAGTGATTGGCCCAACGTCACCCAGGTTGTGACTATAGTGAAGTAAATGCCTTCACTAAAAATGGAATGTTGGAATCTGGATGAAAATTGTCCAGAATTGTTGACTCCATGTTAGTTTTCTCAGAAGGGGAAGCACCACTGTTTTTTTCAAGGTAGAAGTTTTCCTTGAGATGAATTCATTACTGCTATGGACTCATTAATGTATAACCTCCCTGGAGGCTTTGACCAACAAGGAAAACCATGTTTCTAAGAAACAAGTGGTCTGCTAAAAGAGCCAAGGATCTTGTCTACTTCATTAGGAGTTGCAGGTTTTCATTAATTGATTGATTCTCATTCTCACAACTCTAAAAGCCATCAAAGAACAACAAAAATGAAAAAGAGGTTATAACAGGAACACAGCTATCAAAACTCTTTCCAAGTAACTGGACAAACTTGCTTTAGTCACCTCAATTGGACTTAGTCAATTTGGACTAATCATGTTTGGACTATTGCAATAGACCAAACATGAGGTGACAAAGGCATGAACAACTGTGAGAAGAGACTGCCCATTCAGGAAAAGGCAGAATTAGTGCATCAGATGAATCCTGGTGAAGACTCCCTAGCCAGAGGTGCCATCGCTCCTTCAATAGGAACTGAGAATCCAGGAGAACCACTAAACTTGAATGTTCCATATAGAATAATGCAAACTTATGCAAATCTAAAGATGACACATTATGGATCCTTGAAACAGGCAACCACTCTTGCCTTCTTGGGATTAAATGTGAGCATGTTCTCTCCTCTCCAGATCTTCACAGCCTCCAGCTCTGGAACATGACCCTGATAACACAGTTTGTTTGGTCCAATGAAGGAGATGTAAATTTATTATCAGTGAACTGATGATATTGGACCCTGTGTCAATGGATGATTTCACTCAGTGGGTTCACACACATTAAATAGAAGAAATGAGATTGTCCTACAAGAAAGAATCTGAAAGCTTAACCTAATCCTCACAAACTCCCTAGCCAAAGCCAACTCAAGAGAAAGGAAAACCAGTATAACATCATACATCCCATTCCTAAATCATGTAGTCATCTCAGAAGGGTATCAAGATTAATCATACTGAAAGCTGATGAGAGAGCAAGAAGAGCTAGGATGGTTGAATTACTCTTATCCCTTTCTTTGATCCAGTAGTCCCTATTTGGGGTATTAATCTCCTTAATCCAGGGCTCTTTTCTCGAGAACCTTCCTGAGAAAAGGAAGGCCAGAAATTGGATGAAAATTGTGAAAGAACTGTTGCATCTAGTGATGGCTTCTTTAGAAAGGGCCATACCACCTCCATCATCATGACAGATGACACCATTTTTTCACACACTGACTCTACATGGACCAGTGGGATGGATCTAATCAACAGTGGTCAATTTAGGGTATGGTCCATTTCCTCAGGAGTTATAGAGCAAAACAGTTCCAGGTAACAAAAAATAAATTAAACATCAATCAATTCACTAGGACTGTTTCTGAAATAATTGTGGCCAGAAAATAAATCAAAGAATAGTTCACCCACTATTTACCTCCAAGCTGAACAGAGAAACAAGGCATTCTCATTCTTTGAACTGAAGTTGAAGCAGTCCTTTAAAAGAATCTCTAGAAATCTATTGTTGACAATGGTACCCCTCACCTGTAGAAGAGGGAGATAAATGAAAATTACCATCCAGAATAGCAGGTAATTGGAGCAGCAGTAATAGACCACTGTCACTATCACAATTGCATAATCCAAGCATCCTTTCTTTAAAATAAGCAGACAGACAAATCCTCCTCTGTTTGGGGTGTTGGACATTTTACAACTATTCATTTTGTATCTTAGATTGTACAAAAGAGAAACAGACATTATTCTTTCCTGAAACATCTTATTCCTATATAGGTAATATTGACTTACGACCCGTTGCTTAGCAACTGCTCAAACTTATGATGAACCTACCCAGGGCTACTTATGAACCGGATTTGATGTTCCCATGGTCCCCCACTTCATGGTCATAGACTGCATTTTGGGCACTTGACAACCAGCCCGCATTTGTAGCATCACACAATCATGTGATGATTTATGAGAGTTTTTGCCGAAAACTGGCATTTATCTTTAGTTTCTGACAAAAATCACCTATTGTAAACAATGGATTTGCTTAACAACTGCAGTGTTCCCTTTACAACTGTGTTTGTTTAATGACTGCTGCAGAAAGGTCATAAAATTGGGCACCATCATGAGACCCACTTAACAACTGCCACAACTTATTACTTTAATTCTGGGCTCAATTATGGTTGTAAATTGAGGACTATCTGTATACTACATTCCAGTATTTAAAAACCCATTCAATAATTACATGATTGCAGTTCTGATTTGTAATGAATATTATAAATCCTTAGATTGTACCATATCTTATTAAAGAATAGGAAGGAAGGAAGGAAGGAAGGAAGGAAGGAAGGAAGGAAGGAAGGAAGGAAGAAGAAAGAAAGAAAGAAAGAAAGAAAGAAAGAAAGAAAGAAAGAAAGAAAGAAAGAAAGAGTGAGTAGAGGAGCTCTATACTCTCTTACTTATTTCTCATGCCAGGAAGGAATTGCCAATATGAAACTGCAGGATACATAACTAGAGACGAATAAGTAATACTTGAGTGGTATCTCATGCCATCAGGTGACTACAATAGTGTTAAATGATAACTTTTAGAACACATTGATCTAACCACTCAAATAAACAATTAGTATCCAGTTCAGAACTTAAGAATTATACAAGAAATGCATTCACAAACTTTTCAGCTGAGATACTACAATGAGAAAAGCCAATTATTCCAAGCTACTACATAAAAAGTAGCTTGCTATCTTGATCATCTTTCATTTTCTTTTACCTTACATCATTTGGTGTATTTTGACCCACTGAGAGTCATTTGGAATTGGACAGGATCAAATCCAATCTAATCAAATCAAATCCTCAATTCAAAAACAACAGTGCTCTGTAACTGATAGTCAGAAAATAATTTGTGCTTGCTCTGTTGGTTAAGACACAGGACTAAAATTGGGAAAAGCTGTGTTCTAGTTCTGCCTTAAGCCAACTAGAAGTCAATAGAGAGATTTTTGAGCCAATTACCTTTTTTCAATGCTAGGAAGAAAACAGAGGCAAACAATTTCTGAAATAACATAAACTAACAATCAATATACCATACAGGTGTCTAACCCAAGGCCTGGAGGAACAGCTAAGTCTTGAGATCTTGTTTAAATTAAGTCAGGGTGCACATATATAATTAAAGTTTATTGCCAGATTGCCAGTATTTTAGGATTCAGAAAAACACTATGCACATTGGAGAAGCGAGAGGAGCAAGAGGGTCAGAAGAGACATGCCACAGCAGCAGTGAGATGGCAAAAACTTTCACATAGGTTTCCCCTTTGTCATGTAGTTCATGTCTCTACTATTCGTCTTAGCAACCATTCTGGTTATGATTTAGGGAACAAATCGTGGTCATGAAACAAGGAGAGGCTATGAAAGCAAAGGAGTCCTCAATGTTAACCTATGGCCTTGCCAATACAAAATAAGTGAACCAAGATTTTTCCTCAGTTCTCATAATAGATGAAATTTTTATTGACTTATTATTTTATATCTAAACAAAATCTTCTATCAATCAAGCAATGCAAAAGCCATTTCTGCCTGGCGAAACAGCCCATATTCCAAATTAAGTGATTCTTTCTGGTGCTAGCTTTCAAGGAATAATGGACCACACATGTATAAAAGCTAGCCATTCTGTGATACATGTCCAGTAACTAAAGGCAGTCTCTAATGTATATGGAGTCTGAAGCCAAAGACACTGTAAACCACATTTGTCATACATTGCAGGTTTCTGTAGTAAACCAAGACCATCCAAAATCAACTTCATTTCAGATGTAGACTTCCATGAAACCCTATGCTCAATCTAGTTCTTTGGCATTTTGCAATTTTGTAAATGTGTCTAGTACTAATAGAAAGCTCATTTTCTTGGAATTGTTAGGAAGATGATGGACGGGAGCGATAACAGACAGTGACAAGAATCCAGAATTCCAGTCATGACAGCTTCCAAGCTAGCTAGTTTAGCTGCACCTGAGTCTTTAGAAGGACATCTCAATTTCCATAGTCAACAAGGTTTGCTCTCTCACCCCACTAATGCCCTGGTTTAATCTAGAGGGCTTATACCAGTGATGGCTAACCTTCTTCTCGTTGTCTGCCTAAAGCATGCGTGCACGCGACAGCAAACACACATGCCAGCAGCCATAATGCAATGTACCCCCCCGCACATGTAACCCCCTGCCCCCCATTTTGGGCCTAGCATGCCTCCCGGCAGCCTCCTGGGCCCAAAACTAGGCTGGGGGGGGCGCTGCACCCCCGTGCGACCCTCGCGCATGCCCTCATGACCTCCAATCCCCACACACACCCGCACATCTCCTGCATGCACCCTACTCCCTGCGCATCCAGAAAAGTAGCTGGCCAGCCGGAGGCGCGTGCGTGCATGGGCGGTGGAGCTGAGCTGGGCGATGGCTCACATGCCCACAGAGAAGGCTCTGCATGCCAACTGTGGCACGCGTGCCATAGGTTTGCCATCATGGGCTTATACTGTATGTGAGCACAGGCAAAGAGGAGCAACACTTGGGAGAATGACTTGAAGCTAAGCAGCACCTTTGCCTTGTGTCTTGTTGTAAAGAAAGAGCAACCAAGCCAGTGGTGAAATCTAAAATTTGTTACTACCGGTTCTGTGGGCATGGCTTGGTGGGGGGGTGGGGGTGGGTTATGTGACTGGGTGGGCATGGCCAATTTTTTTTTTTTACTTTTAAAACCATTTTTTCTACAACCTTTTCGGGGAAGAGGTTGTAAATAATGCTTTCAAAAGGCTCTGACGATCCTAGCTGAGTTGCCTGATCGGCAGAGGCTTTTTAAAAAACCTCTGCCGATCAGGCAACTCAGCTTGGATCGTCAGAGGCATTTAAAAGAAAAAAAGGATTCTTTTAAAAGCCTTTGACGATCCCAGCTAAGTCGCATGACCATCAGAGGCTTTTTCTTTTACTTTTAAAAGCATTTTTTGGCTGAAGAGGTTGTAGAAAAAATGCTTTTAAAAGTAAAAAAGAAGCCTCTGATGATTGTGCGGCTCAGCTGGGCATGGGGGGGAGGGCAGGGATTTTTGCTACCGGTTCTCCGAACCACCCGCCTCCATCGCTACCGGATCAGGCGATCCGGTCTGAACCGGGAGCATTTCACCCCTGAACCAAGCTGAGGCTGTACAAAATTCCCAATGTGTGTAAGAAACTCTGGAAGGAGAAAAGAATTATATGCACTTATCCCACTAGAACTTAAAGAGAAAGAAATCGACTAAGTATGTCAAAACATAAGCACCTAATCATGGCTAGGCCAGATAATTAGAATTGGGAAAGTGAAGCTAGCCCTGTCCAGCCAAGACAGCAGCTTTGTATTAGGGAAAAGTGTGAAATGTAATAAAGGGATGTGTAAAGCTTTCATCCAAGCTGTGGTGTGTCCAATCGTAGCCAAAAGAAATCACCACACCAATACAGATTCTCTTGGAGGATGAAGAATGTGGGGAAATTACACGACATGCCATTTAACAGGTAGTTCCTCTCTGCAGCAGTCTCCTCTATTAAAAAATAAACAAAATAAACAAAAACTGCATTTATTCAGCCGGAATTAGTTACATACTTTATGAGATGAAAATGTAATCTCTTATGGCCAAGCTCTAAGGAGCTGTGCAGTTTTCTAATCACAGCCATAACTTTGCCTTTTAACAAATGACATCTCAAAGGAATTATTGATAATAGGAAGACCTTTTTAAAATTAGCTATACTGTATTTTTGCAAAATAATGGAAGATTCAATTTTATTATTGACTGACTCTTTGCAGATTGATAAAACAGTGCTACCGGTAGATTTTCAAAGTAGAATATAGGCATGTGCTAAAGAAATATTAATCACTTTACAATTGTAAACTTGACAATTTAGAACAGGAAATTACAATATCGCCTTTCCATCACATTAAATAATGATTTATCACTGAAGTTAGCATTTCCTAGAATTTGTCCATATTCATGAGTTCTTAAAATTTCATGCTGAAACTTCATGATAACTGTTGTTTTCATTATTAAGTAAGATACAATATTTAAAATGTTTCCTGGCATAGAAAGGATTATTGAACATTGTTAATTAACTATATAGTCACCAATTTAAAGAATAGTAGGAGACATGGGTCAGTTCAACCTCCAAGAAACTGCAACTGCAAAAAAATTTCCAAAGATATAGTTTTATGGTAGCTGCTACTGGATTTTGATTTAAAGGGGAATAAAACTAGTTAACTCATTTTTTTCTCTACTTTTTCCCCCATTTCATACTGGATATGTGCAAAAGAGATATTAAAAGTATGAATTTTGTAAATTCAAAGAAAATTTCAGATCCCACTGTGGCTTCTGCACCATGGTAATTAAATATTCCAACCAGTGACACTTTCTCGTGTGTGTGTGTGTGTGTGTGTGTGTGTGTGTGTGTGTGTGTGTAGGTAACATGTTACTCAGAGGAAAGTATGTAATTTGTAATTTTTCGATAGCTTGACCAATTTTTTTCTTTAAAAACAATGGCTGAGCTTTTAATTCTATATCAAGGTTTAAAAAA